CATTTTATTTTGGTATACCTTTTCTAGGTACGTTAGCCTGTGACCACGGAAATTGGCCGAGTCAAGTGATGGATTAGTACGGAGAGATTGAGACAGAAGGAGGTACTGGATAGAGAGACCGGGATGGTTTTTAATGTGAAGACAACAACAACAACAACAACCCTGTCACAGGAGACGGACCAGTTCGAACATTCAACTGTAGCCTGCTCACGCACGCAACTTCGGCGGACTTGGCATCCGATGGTTCTCACAAGACCGACCGACCGTGACAAGCTGTGTATGTAGATGTTTGGGTTCCACCTTCCAACCGCGTAAATGGACGCGCGAAAGCGACGGACAAATTTGCCGGGTTGGTGCTCGGACGTTCCTCATCGTCCTGAATCGAAGCTTGTTTGTTGTACACCTGGGGTGTCTACACCTTAACATCATCAAATCAAAACTCTGTGGTTCTTGCCCTTGCGTGTGTGTCTGGCGTTAGTGCACTTGATGCATATTCCTTCATCGTGCCTTGGGCTGAAGTCAACAACGAAGGTCTGGACTATCACGAACGGCGGGGTCGGCCCGACGGTTCTGTTTCACGTTGCCCGTGTCAGGTGCGCATGTACTCGTTGCGTTCTCTTACACTCCGCGGGGGAGGTGCGGCCCGCTTGGTGGCCTCGGTTTCGATTCTTGTGTTCATCCTCGAAGAGCTCGGTGGCGAGAGGGCTCTTGCAGGCATCATGCGCGTCTCACCTATAATGACAAAAATCTCACTCATCGTGTGGAAAACCGTCTCACACGGGTGAGGGTGCATAGCCCCCACACGAATCTGTCGCGCCCCATGATTGTCCAGCAAATTGCTCGCGCGAAATACCATCCCACTCGTGGCGGACCGGACGAGGTTTCTCATCCACGTCAGGGAAGAAGCGGGCACGACTAAAGATGTACCTACTTTGTGTGCTGTGAGGGCCACCACGTTTCGAGTCCGTGGCGACGGTACGGCAAGGCCGAAATTCTGCGTATCTCAAAAACTGATGTCAAATCCGCACACCATGCACATTGTTTGGACAGGTTTCGAACTATGTTGTTCAACTTCTCCTGAAACATTGACTTCATCGCCACCCAAGCAATACCGCATTCATCTGTGACGCCAAGAACAAACGGGCGTTAGCGAGAAACCCACTCTGTGGGCAAAACACGAAGTCAAGCGTCTTCCACACAAGAGTCAGGTCTACCGTAAACGTCGGGAATTTTTCTTACGGGGAGGGGATCGCTTTTTTCTCTGAAACCAATCCCTCCAGAGAGAAATTTTGACGTGCCGCGTTTTTTGTTTTATTTTTCCAACGCTATTCCTTGGGGGGGAACCCCCCACCAGGGGGGTTTGCTTTTTGCGCTCCGCGATGCAACAAGATCGACTCAGAAAAAAGGGAAATGCATGACCCCTTGGGGGGAACTCGTGGGAAACCTGGTGCCCCGGGGAGAAATTGAAATACCCGGGGGGATTTGTTGTTTTTGGTCGAAAACGATCACCCCCCGGGACTAAGTCAACGAAACCATGCTTCCAGGCCGAAAAGATGATGGGGGGAGGGGGAACTCTACT